TTGGAACCGAGCACTTTGTTTGGACCAGATGCATAAATATGCCACTCAGCCATCGTATAGTGATCATTTTCATAGATTTCTGGATCGATTTCAGATAAGTCCTTGGCAGTTTTTTAGGAGATCCCAAAATCAGTATTCGCTGAGCGTTGTTCCCTCCTGTTTTCCGGATCGCTTTTGTCACATTCCTGGTCCAGAGGTTGTATTTGTCGGTTTTCTCGCGAAGACTCTCGCTACTTCTGTTGTTTCGTTCACAAGTGTCTTTTCCAAGTTCTGTAGAAAGATTAAAACTCAGTCTGTAGTCCTTTTTTTTTAACTGCTTTGCCACCGCTGTCCACCAATCCACGCCGGTAAGCTATAAAGTCCTCTTTCATGGCGCAGGCCTCTGCTTGATGGGGAATCCAGGAGATGATTGGAATCACATCGTGTTTCAGACAATGGTTGACAGTCGTCAGGTTGCCAAGAAATCATGTGAAGTTTACAGCGGAGAGGTCGTATGAATATAGATCTGCCCTGCATCGAAACCATAAGTTACTAAAGCCTTTCTCATGGACGTCTATGGTGTTCTGTTCCAAGTACTTTTTCAGTGGCGACTTCCATTTGAACCAGTTTGTGCAAAATCCTCCTCGTATCTTAGCTTGGTACTCTTTCGGAGAAATCGGATTATTCATGTTCACTACTGTAAAAAATTGAATGGACCGTTTTTTTACAGGCCAAAATCGGGCTAAAATTCTTGAGTGCGGCCCTCGGGCTCGGTTAGTTAGGAGTAAATATTCTGCCTTCATTTGTCTACACTGATTTGGTAGTTTGCCGATTCCACCGGCAAGCTATCAAAGGATAATTCGAGCTGGGTTCGGTACAAACTGGCTCAAGCCAAATGAGAATTGGACTCACGATGACCCACTAAGGTACTCTGAGAAGCAAGTTACAGACGTCCATGAAAAAAGGGTTTACCAACTTACGAATTCGATGTAGGGCAGATTTGTACCCAAACAACTACTTCGCCCTAAATTTTACATGGTTTCTTGGCAACTTGACGACCACTGTTGATGACTGTCTGAAACGTGGTATAGTTTCAATTATCTCTTAGTTTCACCGTAAGGTCGGAGGCCTACGCCATAGAGAAGGATCGCATCGCTTATGTTGCCTGGTGGACAGCCGTGGCACGACGGTTAAAAGACAGGGACTATAGACTGTCTTAATCTTTTCACAGAACTGGGATTTGGCGCGTGTAGAACTAATGGAATACGTTGCAAAAATAGTCCTCGAAAAAAATATCGTCAAATACACTCAAGAATGTAACAGAAGCAATCCAAACTACAAGAGGAAAGAACGCTCAGCGAATACTTATTCTGGTATCGCCAGGAAAAACTGCTAAGGAGTCATCTAAAATCAATTCAACAATTTATCAAAATGATACATATATGATGGCTAAGTGGCACATTTATACTTCAGGGTCAAACAAAAGAGATAATTTGTCAGTGTACTGGAGAGGAAATGGTAGTTCTAAATGCCGAACAAA